GGAAGCACATGCAACAACTAGGTCCCTGTCTCCTGATACCCCTCCCCTGCATCTGACATTTTGAGGTATCTTCCTTTTAAGACTGGAGATCATACATCCCCATTCATGGCTTGTAACCTGCAATGGACTTTTCCTCCCCCTTTTAAAGGCATCTAGGCCATGTGCCATCACCACATCCTGTGGCAAGGAGTTCCACAAAAACTAACAGGGACACACTCCCCATGTCCAGCTTCCAGCATAGGTCATCAAACAAGGCAACCAAAGCAGTCTCTGTCCTATAACCAAGCCTGAAACCAGATTGAAATGGATCTAGATAATCTGTTTCATCCAGGAACCCCTGGAGGTCAGAAGCCACAACCTGCTCTAGGATCTTGCCCCAAAATGGAATACTAAAGTCTTGTCAGTAACTGCTGGGTTTTGTGGGATCCACTTCCGGCACAGGTCATCAAACAAGGCAACCAAAGCAGTCTCTGTCCTATAACCAAGCCTGAAACCAGATTGAAATGGATCTAGATAATCTGTTTCATCCAGGAACCCCTGGAGGTCAGAAGCCACAACCTGCTCTAGGATCTTGCCCCAAAATGGAATACTAAAGTCTTGTCAGTAACTGCTGGGTTTTGTGGGATCCAAGGAGGGCTTTTTCAACAGTGTATCACATAAGTTGGTAGCAGCTCAGACTGCAGCATTTCCTCAGCTGTGCATTCCTTCAAAGCATGGAAGGGCAAGGACACACATACCTCACCTCAAACTCAAACGTAGAGCAAAATCTAAAGATCCATATTTTTTCAACCCTCAGGTAAAGAAGGGAAAAGTCCTTCTGAGAAGAGCACTTCCACACTTCTGAAGGCAAGGGTCTACAACTGGTGTGAGAGGGAGAGGCAAAAATTCCTGTAGTCAAGATGTGCTGTTCTCTATATTGTCCCATTGAATACAGGGCTGCAGGAGGTAAGCTGAATCTTAGGACAAAACATGGTCTTGAAGACCCATCCCATCAACACTCCCAATAAGTAAAAGCTTATCTTCTGGCAATGTAAGCTTATTATATAATGTAATATATCATGTTTACCTATGCTAAATGTATTAATAGCAATAATGTCAATTAATTAGATAGACAGACCTGCTTTAAATGCAATGCGAAAGGGCACTCTTATAAAAAGCTACAATTTATAGTAATTATAAGTAATTATGGCAATTAAACTTACAGCATAAATTATCAGTCTCATCTTGCAAAGATGAACTCATATTTTTTACAACAACAAAAGTGTATGAACCCCTCCTTTCTTGCTTTTATTATGATAAATCTGTAATGATAAATCTATAAGTTAGTGACACAAATTTTTAGACTTCTGTTTAGAAGCAAGTCCCACTGAGTCTTCTCCAACCAAGAAGATAAATGTTGTTATTGACTGGTGAAGATTACTCACTGACTGAAAGTGAATATGAGTTTCCTAATGGGGTAGCGGCATATTTTCTTTGCTGTATTGAAAAAAAACCTTAACAGCTCTGATAAACTGGATGTAAATGCTAACTGTAGTTATGGGACCATTTTATGCATATTTCAGGAAGCCTTAGAGACAAAGTAGCATCAAGCATTTGTAAGACTAATTTTTTCTTTAGCTATACTGTATGATTATGTGAAGGAATAACACAGCTTGCTTTTAGTATTTGCATATAATTGCTATCAGCATTAAACTGGGGCACTCCATTATGTAGACAACACTTTCAAAATGGTTTTACTTCCCCTTTTAGAGGTTTTATTCACCCTGCCAAGGAACATGGCCTTCCTAACATACCTTTTGATAGTATCATGTCTGACTTTCTTGGCTGTAAAGAACGTCTTGGTTAAATTTATTACCATAGTACGATAGTATAGCTCCCCAAATAAACTTGGTACAGCTATAAAAATAAACATTCAGCAAGATGTACATGTTAAATCACTAATGTGCTTTGACTTACGTAAAGCTGTGCATCCTCCCTTGTTTAGGGGCAATTATATAAAAATAAACATTCAGTAAAATAGGATACATGTTAAATCACTAATGTGCTTTGATTTACGTAAATCTGTGCATCCTCCCTTGTTTAGGGGCAATTGTTTAGTGGCACAATTTCCATTCAGAGGAGACTTATGGAAGAAAATTCACTGGAAGATTAGCCACCTAGGCTACATCCCATCCCACAGGAGAACTTTTAGACTTTATGGCTCCTACTTGTGTTGCCATTCTCTCTGCATTAAAACAACGGAGGTACTGTGGCTTCTAACAGACATTCTCAAAAAAGACTGCTTTTATTTGTTGTGCTTTTATTTTTTGCAGTTTATTAGAGATTGAGAACCATGTTTTACAAGTTGACTCTAAATGCCAAAGGCCCTATTGGGACTCCTCCAGTCACACACAAAACAACTCTTCAGTAATTGTAGTGACCCACTCTGTGTGTTTTATTTTTCTATTCACATTCAAAACAGTCTGGATAAATATTGTGTGCTGATAACGAGACTGCATCTTTCTGTTCTCACAAGATCAGAGCTTGTGCTTTAAGTCAGCATAAACTCCTTGCAAAAGTAGCTATCTTCATGAAGCGGAGCTCCAAAGAGTGTCACCAAAAGGGAGCATGGGTTAAGGGATGCATGACTACGTGAAAGGTGAGCTAATGTAATGGCTAAGGCTGAACTAAGATTTAGAAAGCACCTGGTTCAAGTCTTGCCTCTGCCAACAAATGGATTTAGGCAAGTCACATTCCCTCAGCTTCTATTCCCTTGTCTGTGATATGGAGATACAGTATGTCATAGTTCAGGGCTGCTGTACAAGTGGAAAATATATCTTGCCTGTGATATGGAGATATGTCATAGTACTGTTTTACTTTTCAGGGCTGCTGTACAAGTGGAAAATATAAGGAGAGGGTTCTGAAGTCTTGAAAGCACTATACCCCAGTAGGCAACATAGTTCCTTCTAGAACTCGATAGATCTGTAATTCTTAAGAACAGCTCAACTCCACTTTACTTGTTTTTAAAAATCTTTAGCTGGCTGGATAGCTCAGTGAGTTAGGGATGGGCGTTAAATTCCCCACTGTGTATCCCGCAAGAGCCAGCCTGTATTGCCTTGGGCAATCTGCACTGTCCTAAGATGCCCCCAGAAGAAGAGAATGGTAAATCACTTCTGAGTATTCTACCTAGAAAAGACTTTAAAAGAGTCACTGTAAGTCAGAATAGACTTGATAGCATACAGTTATTATTATTAAATAAAATCCATAAAAACAATTAAAACACACATTTCAAAAGATAAAGGGAACCTTTCATTTCTTCAAGAACATTTTACATTTTAAAGGCCTGAACATTTGCCCACCTTTTTTCTAGCCTGAACTACCATTTTATCCTGAGTACAAACTGAACTCATGTTGCAGGACTGGGCATTGTTCCACTCAATTGGAGAATTTTAGAATATGCCAGTAAACTCCTGTAGCAGTAAACTGTAAAGGAAAGGGCTGTCTTTCAAGAAAACCTATCCACTTTTGCTGATTTTCTCACAAAGTATCCCACTTTTCCTTAGTACAATGACTTCAAGACTGTTCTGATTCATTTAATGAGAAGGCCAATATGATTATTTTGCCTGTGTCCGGCCCCCACCCACCTCCCAGGTCTAGATCCACATTTGCTTATGTTTAAGGCTGACTTGTTAATATAACTAGGGTAGATTGGTCACAACTAACTTATGTTCTCTTCAGTTTTAAAGGGTCTGCTCCAAACATGACTAAATGTTGATCCAACCTAGACATGGATGCTTCTTAATCATAACCAAGACGAAGTGCAGCACCACAGGTGGTGTGGATTCCCTTCCCCTACCCACAGGCTGGCTGGGCCACTAACCAGGCTCTGTGTGTCACTGGGGTCCTTCTTTGGCAGTGGCACATCAATCCAGGCAAGCCTGGCCACGCCCCCTGAGGCAGGCAGCCACTCGTTGGCTGTGCAGGTAGACTCCCCACCCTGCCTCCTTGCTAAAGTGGTCAGCTGCCTGGGGAGGAGGGGCTGGGTGAGCCAGGCTCCTGCCTGGATTGGTGCACCACCACCACCAAAGAAAGAACTCAGCGATGTGCAGAGTTGGGTTAGTGGCCTGGGTGACCTGAGGGTGGGGGAAGGCAATCCCCACCCCCTGTGGTGCTCGTAGACATGAATGACAAAGCACCGATGTCTAATCCAACCCATTGATGTAAGAAAATAGCGCTAATCTTTCTTAGGAATCGAGACAATCAATAGATAAGAGGCTAGAAATATATAGTTAATTGTTATTTTATTTACCATGCGATCCTTTCTATAGTTATATCACAATGTGTTACGTCTAGAGAACTAAGACTGACCATTCTACAAGCAACACAGTGCTAAAAATCATACAACTATCATTTCAGCCTGTCATATAGAAAAGGGGATGGGCAAGAGCAAACATCTGGAAGTGCAGAATCCTTTAGGTGGTTAGTACATTGCAGCTACTCTAAGGTTGCATTCCAGTTTCATTGCACATTATTCTTCACAAACTATTTCCTTGAGCTCTGCAATGGTTTAAAAACCCATTGGTGAATAAAATTTCCCCTCCCCAAGACAATAAAAAGGCATTAAATGACATACATGTGACCACATATGCAGACATGAACACACACACATGCATCTCAGCTACAGACAGAATCATATATGTAGACTAGATAGCCTTTACCTTTACTCCTAACAAAGGTCTCTTTATGCAAGAACACATTTCAGTATGTTGTCTAGCAGACAAAATTTCTTAAAGTATTGAAGAAACATAAAGAGTCCCAAAAGAACATGACTTTAAGATTCACAACTGAGAGACTTAAAAAGAGAGAAAGAGATTTCAGGGTGCCAATTCTTGTTTCTCGTCACCAGATTCAATACCATACTTTGTAAAATAAATAAATAAATCAGATAAACCAGAAGAGAATGTAGGATCTTAGCAACATTAAATCATTTATTTATTTATTTATTTATTTCAGGATCTTAGCAACATTAAATAAGCCATCAGTTTATTTATTTATTTATTTATTTATTTATTTATTTGATTTTTACCCCGCCCCTCTAGACCATGTCTACTCGGGGCGGCATACTGAAAAATAATGGATGATGCAAGTTCAGCCCTGTAACAGCTTATGTTTAAGATCGGGGAAGCTTGCATTAGGTTAGTTGCAGTAATCCAGCACTTAATTCAGGGGCAGTTAGCTTCATTTAAGGCTGTTGTCTTCCACTGAGATACAGCTACCTTAATAACAGAACTGATACCAGAGCCTCAGCAGGTCAGTTTTATCAGCAGAGTTTAGAGCCTAAAGTATAGGCTAAATAACATTTCCCTTGCACTTTGTGAGCTACAATAGGGAAAAATATTTTCACAAGGTTTATTTTTATACAGTCATCTTATCTTTGACTGAAATTAAGTTAAAGCTCAGAGCAGAGTTCAAAAGGCAGGGACGTAGTCTCATGATAAAGCTACTGTTAGAGGTTTGAGGCTTGCTGCCTCAGCATTAAAGATGGGTAAACCCTCCCACTTCTGTCCACTCTACGGCCAGAAGCAGAGCTTGGATAGCCCAGAATTAGAGCTGAAATCACCTTAATGTTGCAGAGAGGTTACTAAGGCAGACCTTCCATGTTCATGAACTCAGACTCCAAAGGAATCCCATGCTTAAGTCCTTGATACCAGTCACCAAACCAAGTAAGATGATTTACATTATTCTGGAGGGGCAGAAGTTTGCGCACTCATGTTAGTTAAAGAACTTTCTACTTTGAGTGACAAGCTATCTCTAATGCCTGTATGTGGCCACAGGTTTAGCTACCGCAATTTGCTACATATGTACTGTATTTGCAATCTAACCATATTACTATTTAGAGAGTTGTGCTGATGAACCATTAAGTGATTACCATCTCTATAGCCACTCCCCCTACCCAACTAGTACCATTAGAATAATGTGTAATAGTGCATTTCCAAGAGGTCAGTTATGTACCACAGAGCCTCTTAGAAAACTCATTTCCACATGATGTCACAATTTGGTTAAAGCAAACAAATTTATGTTTGTAACTAACTGTTATGATGTAAAGAGTGTAAACCTCCTCTTAAGTGGTATTCCTCTTGGAGGAAGGAATCAACAGGCTTTGACAAAAGTAGGCCCATACAAAAACCAACTAGGGCTATAATTTGCAGTGCTCAGCAATGCAGTTTAGCAACAATCTGCTACAGTCAATTACAAACCTATTCAATCGAAGCAAAAAAAAAAAATCCTGCCCAGGTAATTTCACCTGGTCTTAACATCTCTTTAAATGCCTTGCTTTTATCTCTATTTGTATGTACTCCTTTAAAAACAGCCACATAATTTAAATTTATTTTAATGCTAAACTGTGTTCCTACTACCTTTCTTTCGTGGTCAAGCAGCCAAGTACAAAATATGTGTCCATGTCGTTTGCTCAAGGTGTTTTTATATTCCATCGTTGCTCCTTTCGCTGAGTCTGACCAATTCCTGACTCTTTAAACCCTTCTAGAGAGCTCACATTTGAGAGAGCATTTTTTTATCTTCAAGCAAGTCATGTGATTCCCAGCTCATGTGTCTGGCCACAGCTGTCACCAAGAGAACACTTATGTTTTTAGGAAACATTCCTTATATCTTACTTTGCCAATGGCTAAGAGGCCTCCAAACATCTCTTGGGAGGCATAAGTCATATACACAAAGCCATCTTCGTCTTTGTAATCCTGGTATACTTCAGCCAGAGTAAGAGACATACTGGCTAAGCTCTTGTTGTTTACCAGCAGGTAGAAAGCTTGAGTAGCACTCAGCGCCATTCGGCTCCTAGGTTACAATGAAAACACAACAGTCTTAAAAGTGTGCAAGCTCTTTCATGTTATGAAAAAAAACTCTATCTTAGTGCTTATGTAGCTTTGTATCATTGGCTTATAGCAACCTAAAACCAAAATCACTATCCACATTCATGAACAGGGACATATATATGCTGAGGATCTTACAATTAGGCAGTGTAGGCAGTCACATCAAGCAGCTGTTATAGTGAAAGAACATGAAATTAATGATTTAGTTTGTTATTGAATTTTTACGGTCAGATTTTGTTTGTGGTTTTTTTCTTAGTATGCCAAAATAAGTTGGCTGGCTTTGGATGCACTTTGACATGGATGTGGCAGGGTCACCATTTACTTCTTTGCCTCGGGAAGAAGAAGAAAAAGGAAGACTAGTTCACACTCGGTTTTGGGACACCTGTGCATAGAGAAGTAGCCCAAGCTCTCCGGCCAGCTAAAGCATACAATTCTGCTCCCCCCATGCATCTGGCAGCAGACGACTATTACGCACGAAGCAGAAAATGCACAATCCTACAGAACCACCATAGGAGGTAGTAGTAGCAACAGTAGCAACACCCTTGCTTGCAGTGCAGGAGGCAGTGATAACAGCATCCTTTTTCATGGAGGAGAAGGTGACAATGACATCCTTGCCTTGCCACCATAGAATGAGGTGCTCGGAACTGCTTTGAGGCAGTCAGTCCTGCAGCTGCTCGCCTACTGCCTGCCTCATTTTCAGAAGACTACTTTACTTACAGCACACTATTTCACTAATGCCTGTCTGCTGAGTTGTGTCTTTTGAGAGCCAAGGCATTATGGCACTGGTGACCAAGAAAATCACTTGTGTTGTGGCACAACCATTTTCTAGCTCACCTCTTGGTTCCAAGGACTCCTCCCAGCCAGGTCTTATCAAAATAGTGACCTTTGGGTACTGCCCTTAGTAGCAGCTCTCCAAACCAGCAGGGAATTTTCCTAGGTTGGAAAGCAAAGGGCAAACCTGCCACTTCTGATACTTGCTCTTTAAACTCCGGTCCTTTTCTATTCAGAACACAAGTTGACTCCAAATATAGGCCAACTGGCAATGAACAAAATGTAAAGAGTTCAAGTTGGTCTATCTGATTAGGGTGGGTAGGGGGAATCAACCACCAGGTACAAAGCCATGCAAATTAAATGTCATTACACAAGTTGTGAGTACTTAGATTTTTAAAGTAGCCAAATAAAATAAGACACATGTTGCTATAAAATCAACATATACAGCAGAATTGATTTCAATTATGAAGAAATTATTGTGTGGCTGCTCCCACATAGTGAAACTCCCTTCTCCATGAGGTTTGGATTTTCGTTCCACTAATAACTGAAGACCTTCATCTTCAGAGGACTTGAAAAGCCTGCCTGAAAAGGGGGGTCTTCAGCTGTTGGTGGAAGGATAAAAGGGAGGGGGACAGCCTAATCTCCCAAGTCTTTTGTCTTACAAGCTATAGTTTATTAGACTGAGACAGTTATGTCTACTTTATAAATTGGCCCAACACTCAAGAGTTAAGCAAAGTTCTAGACCTCCACGTAGTCTTCAGAGATGTTGGACTGAAACATCTGTACAGATCAGAGCCACACCCCAAATGAGTGTCATTAGAATGCCAGCAAAAAGATTTTGGACATGACTGGCTGGCTTTGTGGCCTCCAGCACTGGTGCTGCACTGCTGCTCACATAATCCTTTACCACTGGCTATGGTAAGTGAGGTGGCTACTTATACATTACCAAAACAGAGGATACAAGAAGACCCTGACTGGCATAAAATTGCATATGCTACTTTATATGAACAGATTTTACAGTACAAACAAAAACAAGGGATCTAGAAGACAGTGGCCAGGAAATGTCTATGCTTGCTGCGTTAGCTGTCCAGGTGCTGCTCAGCATGGGTGGACAACCTTTAAGGTCCCAGAACTTCCTTATGATTTTTCATCTTTAAATCAGACCTGGGTTGGGCAGCTCTGCAAATGGAGAGCACCTTCAAAAGAAGGATTGGCAGCCCTCTGAGTGAAGGACTTTCCTACCAAAAAGAGAATGTACAGCAGCCATAGGCTTGCGATCCAAGAACTTGTTTGGGGAGTAAGGAAAGATCCAAGTGAAAAGTTATGACTATTCTTGTTTTTCCAAAGGGATCTATACAACTAAAATTAGAGACTGAGATTTTTCTGGGGTAAAAGCCGTGCAAGACTACCCAGGTGAAACAACTAAGTGGCTACTGCTTCAAATACATACATTAACGCTTTGCTGCTGGGTAGAGTGTGGGCAGAAAATTTAAAAAAACAGCAGCAAGGTCATTTTTAGAATGGGTTGTTGTTGCAAAGAGGAAGGAATAGTATTGGCAAAAGGGCTAATACCAACTTCACTGGGAATCCCTCAAAATGAAGTACTTATTGAGAACTAGACACTGGATTTGCACGTTGCTAAGATAAATTAATACATAATTAAATAAGTCCTAGAACTCTGTTACATGTTCCATTCCTGCATGAAAAGGTTGTGAACTGAGAAGGCGAACTGTGCACGAATCCAGAGCTCAGCATGTTTACTAAGGATCAAGGGCATTTTGCTGGAAGATAGTATGTCCTCTAAGCTCAACTTTGCAGGAAGGCTATAGCTCAGTGCCATTTCTGACATTACTTTTCTCTTTTTATATTCTGAACTGGCACACTGGAAACATGGCCAGAAAACAATCCTGATCTTTGTAACATGAAAGCAAAATAGCACTATGTGCGTATCACTTCTGTTAAAAAATTTATAAAGTGTTTCCCAGGGTGCTTTTAGATGAGACCTCCCAGCAGTACCAGTCAAAAGGCCATCTCTCCTTCCTTTCAACTTTTGTGAAAGATAAAAGATAGAGGCAGGAGTGGAAAAACCTGGGAAGCCTACCAGATGAAAATAAGAATATCTAGATATGCCATAAAAATTCTGACAGTGCAAAGGCATGAGAAAGCCTTGTCTAAAATCACCAGCTCTTTAAAACTCCAGAGGTTATCCGCACGTTTCACAGGCAGACAGTTTCACATCCAGTTCCTTCACTTTGCCTACAAGGAATGAATGCAAAATGTTCTGGGTTCAAGACTGCACAAAACAGTCTCCATCCATAGATAACTGCTTTTAATCAGAAAAAAAGTTTTGAATCGTTTGACATCACATTGTAAACACCTTTCATCTCCTGCATACATGGGCTGCAGATAAAAGCTAGCACCCACCAGTAGGGCATAGGCATCTAGATCATTCATGGAGAATCAGAGAGTTAAAAAAAACCCCACCAGAACCTATTCATCCCATTATTCTACACATCCCAATACTGTAGTTTTTAGTTTTCATGCACCTTGAGCACATGGGATAAATTTAAGAGCAGCTTGCAATAAACCAAGAGGAAATAGGTTTTTTCAAAGAAATACTAATGTGGTTGTTGTTGTTCAGTCATTAAGTCGTGTCCGACTCTTTGTGACCCCATGGACCAGAACATGCCAGGCCCTCCTGTCTTCCACTGCCTCCCGGAGTTGGGTCAAATTTATGTTGGTAGTGTGGTAGTAATGGTCAAATTCTACTTCAGAATGTGGGCTTAGTATAAAAATGGATTCAAATAGATCTAAAATCTTTTGGGGCTTCCTTTATTTTAAACATCTGGATACCACAAAGGGTATATTTTTAGATGTTGTACAAAAAAAACCTCTTGTGGTCATCTAGTAGGCATCTTTCCCCGAAACAGGATGGGGTAGGGTTCACCCTGCTCTGATCATTAGTTACCTATGGCTTTTATGGTTAATGAATCCTTGAGACAATATTTTAAAAATATGTGAAAATATATTTACCTGGTATAGCTATCTCCCCACAACCTTGTGAAAAAACAGAAGAATAATTTGCAAGACCTCTCTAAATGACTGAACCTCATCAAAGCCTAGGCAGGGAAAAGTCACAGAAAGGTGCTGGGTAACACAGTTCATATTATCACATAGTTTCCAAGTTTTTCATAAGTTCTGCAGCAAAAATAGACTTCAGGCAGGAGTATGCGCAGAAGCACGAACAGCCAACAAGATTAACAGCCTATCAGTGGGTTGCTACATACCTAATGATGGTTATAAACTGCGTCATGGTCAGCTCTTGAGGCACAAGAAACTTTGTTTTGTCTAGCAGTGGAAGATACTTTTCTTTCTGATATCTTTCAACAATTACCTGTTTATGATAAGAAAGCAAATGGATCTTAAGCACAAAGTCATTAGAAAAGTCTGCTCAGCATATTTCATATTCAAAAACTAGGGCAGCAATCCTAGATACACTTTTCACATTAGCAAGTCCCAGTACAGTCAATGACTATTATGCGCAAGTGAACATGCTCAATATCAGCTGCAATTTTATTTTAATGAAATATATTTCTATTAATAATGAAAAAAAGAGAAAGAAACAGAATAATGAGGGATACTTACCGGGACTTTTGTTGGGAACTTCCCTCTAATACTTGCAACTTCTTCCACTCTGGTTGCTGCACAAAAGACAGGCAAGGATCAAACACTGCATTTTCTAACAGTGCAATGCATGTCTACTCAGAAGGAAACCTGAGTGAGTTCTGTAAGGTTTAATTCTAGGTAGGTGTGTTTCTAGGATTTGTGCTTTAATGCCCAGCCCTGAAATCTCAGAATGGATTAATGGAGAAGCCTGTTCCATTGAAATCAATAGAGGTGATCCCCTCCCCAGAAAGGACTAGACCCACGCTGTCCAAAATCAGTAGTTAAAGTCCCCTTGGCTTAAATACATCTGGACTCCACTTTAAAACTGCAATTCCTATCCTGAGGAACTGTTTGGACATCCTTGGTTTAGGGTTAGTTTATCACTCCAATCGTAATGGGACGTCAGTGGGATTTACAGGGCAATCCTAGGCACTCCTGTGGTGCACATTCTCGGGCAACGGTCCGCAAGACTGCAGCCTTACCGCCTGTATAAAAATATGCAGCCCTATAGCAGAAAGGCAAGGCTCCACCGCCAGTTACTTACCAAAACTCTTCCTCTGTTTAAAGGGCCTGAGAGCCTGGCAGCTGTGTAAAGGTTGCATGTTCCCCCACCCCACCTCCACCCCCGCTTCGAAGGTCCAGGCTGGCTCTCTAACCCCCACAACCGCTCCAGCACCGCGGCGGCGGCGGCGGCGGCAGCTGCTGTCAAAGAAACACAGTTGAGCAATTTACAGGGAGCCCCCTTTATAAAGGCTTGGCCGGTGACATCAGCGCCCTGCCCGGCTCGGCGGCGCCCCTTCCCTTCGCTCCCTCACGAGTCCCGAAAGGTGGGGTCGGGGGGGCTGAAGGGAGCCCGGCCAAAGCACCGCCGAGGCCCATCTCGCCCGGTGGGTGGCAGGCGGGGGGCGACCGAGCGGGCCTGGGCGGGCGAGCCTTCCCTTCTCTGCCCGGCGCGGCCTAGGCAGCGGGAATGGGGGCCGCCTTTCAGTACGCGCTGTATTTGGGGTGAGGTCCCTTCGCTCAACGGAGGGACTCGCGTTGCACCTTCCCCCCTTCTTTACTGTTGCTGCCCCTTAACAAGCGGAGGGGGGGGCTTCTAAGGGGTCAAATGGGCAGCCGCCTTGGCCCACCCCGCCTTTCACTTTCCTAGCGGCGGAGCCGGTGGGTGAAGAGATGCCGCCTGTCCAGAGGCCCCTCTTCCCGTGACACCCTGCCAGGGACCTAGTTCTGCCAGTATCCCTTCGGCCTTCTTTATCATGTCCTGCTTCCCCAAGTCCTCTTTATCCTTTTGTAAATCCGTTGAGGAGGAACGAAGCCCCACAGGAGAAAGGACTAGCTGTCTTTTACTGACCATAATAGGGGAAGCATAGAGTTTTAATGCGCGCCAGCTCACATGGAGATTTGTGGTTCTTCAGCTAAGTAGTCTGCGGTAGTCCCATTGAATAGAAAGAATTTCTTGAAAGTAAGTATCATTTGTAGTGGTTCTTGTTGTCTGTGTCACCTGTGGAGTGAAAATAAATAAATAAAATCACAGACTAGAATGGCACGCCCAGCCCCAGGATGCTCCCTGAAGAAGTGAATGGTAAACCACTTCAGAATATTGTCTATGTGGAAAACCCTGAAAAAGGATTGCTCTAAGAACTGACTTGACAGCACATGATTATTATTTTTTTATTATTATTAATAAGGGAATAAATGGGTTGTAACTCATGTTGTCATGTCAGTCTTTCCATTTACTGCCTGATTGCCAACCAGAGAGACTTCTTTGATAAGCCCTTCCAAAGAAACTCAAATACATAGCTGGGATCCTGTACCTACTTACCTAGGAATAAGACTAAATGAATGTAATGGAATTTACATTCTGAATAGACTTATATTGCACGGTAATACTGTTTGCAACTATTTAAAGACTATGTTAGCAATTTCAATTGTCCCCCCCCCCCATTTCTATGGATAGAGGGTTCCATTATGCCCCAAGTAATGCACATTTATTTACTATTATCTAAGCCATTTTAGGAAACAACAGCAACTTCTATATAAATTGTTTTTAATAGTTGTGGGTTGATTTGTTCTGTCACATCAGTGCAGAACCTCAACCAGTCCTCACAACTGTGGCAGAATATATTTGTCCTATTCCGTGCTAGATTTATTGGGACTGATGCAACATAACCTTAAGCTGAAGGAGTGTTCCATGCTAGAGCAATTTCCTAAGTTAAATCCACTATAAATTGCCTTTGAAAAGGGTAGCCTTTCCAAGAGCAGAGGGTTCAGTTCTTTGCCAGGACTTTCATCACAGACACATTCAGGCAGCTTTACAGTAGATAATGCAGAGGTGTTAACTGCATTTTAAACTATCCATTGCTTTATAACCTATCTGGAAGGAGATGGAATCTTTTCCCCCCATGCTATATATAGTATCATAAAAGATCTGTATACCTACATTTATTGTGTCAGAAAACTACCAAGTATTTGCTTGTGACCTGTTACCTCATAAAAAATTGAACAATGGAAAGGGAAGGAAAACATTTTTACAGCTGGAGTAGATCAGACTCTTAGTGCTACTATCCAAAAAGCATTATGCAACCTATTTCATCTTTTCTTCTCAACTGATTTTCTGTGGTTAAAAAAAAAAGTAGGAGGAAAATATAAGAGGGTTACAGGATAAATTTAGTAAAATTCTTTTCAGGAAACACCAATTGTAATTACTGGGGCCCATGGTCTAAAGCAGTTCCTATCCTGCAGTTTTAGGCTGAACCCACCCACCTGCCGTCTTGGATTTTGGGATGCAGGTAATCATAACCGTGATTCCAATTTAAGGTAAATGGCTAGTTGAACTGCACCACCACCACTACTGATGTTTTTATCTATGTAAATTTTGTATATTTTAAATTGTTTGCTATTTGTATGTTGTGAGCCACCCAGAGTAGACCATGTCTAGATGGGCGGCATATAAATGCAATAGATAGATAGATAGATAGATAGATAGATAGATAGATAGATAGATAGATAGATAGATAGATAGATAGATAGATAGATAGATAGATAGATAGATAGATAGATAGATAGATAGATAGATAGATAGATAGATAGATAGATAGATAGATAGATAGATAGTCAGTCTTCAGGGAACTACAATTCTTGTTTTTTTGCTGCAACAAACCAGCATGGTTGCCCTAATCTTGAGAACTGTACCTGGTGGTTCAGTAATGACAAAAGAAGCCCCCATCCGACCCCACCTTGCACATGATTACTGTTGGAAAGGATATCTGCAGAATTGGAGTTGTGAAAAAGGATGTTGATAGAGGAGTTGTGATATAAGGACATAACTGATGAATGAGGACCAGATCCGCTTGTTGTTGTGCCCTTTGGAACTATGTTTAGTATGCCAGCTTTTCTGACAGCTCGTCTTTCTGAAAAGTTTTCATCTCTCTTGATATTTTGATACTTATTTCTTTTAACCAGCAGCAATTCTTAGTCCCATTCAATAAATCTGTTAAAATCTGTTCAAACGACTTTCATTATCATTTCTGAAAATAGATAACAGGAAGAGTACCCAGCAGTGTTGTAAATGTAATCATACATTCTCCAGCACTGATCATCATCTTTCTCTGTGCCAAACACGTCACAGTTTGACACCTTTTCTGGAATGAATGATCTTGCTCTTCTGCTGCTTATTGGAGCTTGGGGTGGGTGTTGAATTGCATTACCTAATTTCTTAACAAGAGTGCCTATTCTTTGGACGTTGTGTCCTGAATGAAATGTTCCATAGATATTACTTGGAAGTCTACATTTCAGTTAAGAGTAGTATGAGGCCATTCCAATGTCACAAACTGCAGCATAATAATGAATTTCTCACAGTCTACGTTCTTTGATTTCTGTCTTGGAGAGTAGTAAACTTCGTCCTCCACAAATCTTCTGTTGTTGTTGGCCAGGATTCTGGCCAAGGATTCTGCCTCCAAGCAGCTGGAACCTCAGCCTCCAGTTGGCACAGATGTTAAAACTGACATTAATGCCTCCATCTGTTCAGCTGTGTATGATCAGCGATTCTGAAGGGTGGTCACTGGAAGATTATTGTGGTGACGCTAAACCTGAATGGCCAGTAGACAACCATGGTCTGTAGGGCTCATTTGAGTGACTGCTCTGGAGCCACTCTGCCATTTCTATTCTGTCCTTGTTCCCCTCTTGTTCCTCAACCTAACGTGTTCTGTCTCCTTTGACTCCTCTGTCTTCTCTTTATGTCTCCTTTTATCCCTCCAAATGCCTCTCTCCTTACATCTTCCTGAGCCTCTTCCTCTTCCTAAGTTACATGCCTCCCATTAACCTGCTTTTTCCTTTTGGACCTTCCTCCAGACCTCACCCCACTCAGACCCCCCCCAATCCTTAGGTATTCTAGAATGTCACAGGTTGGTGGTCTCTTGGACATATTCCCTTCCTGTGACTGGGGCTGTCCACCCCCATGAGAGAGACCATTGAAATTGCCTGCATCTTATTGTCCCATGAGGCTAGCTGCCAGAGATAAGAATGTGCAAGAGGACTAATCCAGGGGCCGGGAGAGTTTTAAGGCATGGAGATTGGCTGGACAATCATTCCTGTTGGATCACTCTCACATACATGTACTGTCTACAGGCCTGGAGGATCAGGTTCAAATATTGGGCTGGATGATTATTTCTTACCAGCTAAGAAGAATGTGCTAGCATTTGGACAGCTGCAATGAAGAGGATCTAATATAAAAGAGATAGTACCTGTACTGCTGATTATTTATTTATTTGACAAGTCTGTTAAGATCTCTACTGCTACAAAAATATGAATTGATATATAGATTGATCTCTCTCTTTCTGTTTTCCTTTTAAAAGAGAGTTTGTGTGTACTTTTGTGATGAAAGCAGTAGACATACCTTACTGAAAGGGAAAAAAACCTCTGTGGGTGTAGACATGGATTGGAATAGTACTCACACACACACACACACACACACACACACACACAAAATTCACAGTTAACTTGAAATACATCTTTAAAATTGTTCCAAGTTTGATAGAGATGGGAAGCAGCAACCATTATATTTTGCCACTAGTAATGGCACAGAAGACATCCAATAAGTACCGGTCATTGACAACATAGCTGTGCACATATGTTTTTGTTACAAGGCCCTGTGTATTATTGTATACATGAGTTGCTTGTAACACTATCACTTTAGTCGGAAGTGACATCCACAAAGTATATGTTTGCCTTCAGTAGCTCCCAGGATATTTTATAGAGAACTGCTGAAGCCATAATACTAAAACCACAGCTACTAAAATTTCCCATAAGCATTGGCCATCCTTGCTAGAGATGTAGGTTCTGCGAAATGTTGTCTGAAAAGCCAAACTTTCCCAACCTTTGTGTACATTGTGTGTGTGCATGCTCTTATGTATACGTATATGCACCCCCAAGTTGCTCTTTAGGAACCTGACACAGGGATAATTGAATCTGCTGCCTATCGGAAGAGTCCTTGTTTACTTGCCTTATGCTCTGCATATTTTCACATCAAACAAGTACTGTATTACAAAGGCACAAACGTAGGAAAATGGAATCAGTTCTCAGTGTGACTAGTTCCTGAGGCAATGGGGTGGGGAATATGTGTTTGCAGCTTGTGGGTGGAATTTCAAGGGCAGTCCAAGGGCAGTAGGCAGGAGAAAGGAGGCATAATTCTTGTGAGATATAATTGTATCTCTGCTAAAGCCAGATGTCTCCAGGAGATGGTAAATTTTGGCTCTCACCTTGTGAAAGTGTATTCTGGAAAAAAAATCACTTTGCAAAAAGAGACAAGGGTGGAGAAGGGAGCATCACAATGCAATAATTTTAACCCTCTAAAAATATCTCTACATGAACAAAAGTTTATTTGACTTTGAATAAGC